AATACTTTTTTAAATAATGAGTGTTCTTCGATAAAAAAATCACCCTATTTAAGTAATTTACAATCTCATCTACTAAGTTAAAGCAAATTAAGTTGTTGAATTAATTAGAATAATATCTATCTCACCAATACACGAATTGCAAAATTTAACTCATATCGATTGGAACTCTGAAGTTTTTTAGGTAATCTCTAAATATCTAATTATTAGTAGAGCTTTGCAAACATTTCTCATAGTTATTATTAAACGTGTAATTTCTAAACTTTTATTATTTTGAGATTTTTTAACTCTTTTTTGACTTGTCGATATAATCATGTACCTACCTATACATACTATGAACGTATGAAATATATAATATAAATCATTTTATAAATGTAAAAAAAAAAAAAAAAACAGGAAAAAAATCAGTGAGGTTGATATTAAATTGTTTGTTTCGTGTTTTGTTAACGTGTAGGTATTACGTATTAAAATAATTATCCTTACCAAGTCAACAATTTAGTTAGGTAGCTTTAACTCGGTCGATTTTTACTCGATTTCAATTGTTTTTAATAATATGATCAAGAAATAGCTGCTATTCTGAAAATATATTAAACTTAATAGCATATTTTTTTTTTAAATTTCGAGTTTCTGAAACAAAAAAATTTGAATCTTATACCATTAGTATTTTAATACTTATTAGTTATTAGCTTATTACTTTAAAAAAWATATATATATATATAATATATTGATTTGCCACTGAAATTACGGTGATTCGGGACTCTTGGGACATTCTAATCATTCTATAAGTATATTTTAAGTATATACTATATTATAGCGGTGCATGATGCATTTGTAATTAGTTATCAATAGTAGTTATTTCGGACTATTTCATATTGCTGATAAATAATCCTCAATTGAATTAAAATAATATCTTTACTGTGATATTTTAGTTAAATATGTTGTAAATTATTTTACTAATTATTTATAAAAATATTTAAAAAAAATAAATAAATTGAATACACGTTGTAAACATGCTATTGTACACTAACTAGTACCATTATGGATTCATCATTCTAAATCAATCTTCTAAAAATCCTATATACCTAGTTTTATTATGGAAACTATTGTGTCTGACATCTACACTGTTGTTAATGTAAAGGACAAAAAGAATAACAGCTCCGCTTTTACTTCAAGACATAACGAGGTTTTATATTGAAAGAACAAAAAAAAAAACGTTATAGTTTTCACACATTTTAGGTTAAGTGTACACAACAAGATTACAACAAAAAGGTGATAACAAAAGTGATAACAATTAACAACATACACGAGATAAGATTAGATCTGTAGTTTAAACATTTAGTTTAGAATAGTCCGAAATAACTACTAAATGTTTAAACTACAGATCTAATCTTATCTCGTGTAGATGTCAGACACAATAGTTTCCATAATAAAACTAGGTATATAGGATTTTTAGAAGATTGATTTAGAATGATGAATCCATGATGGTACTAGTTAGTGTACAATAGCATGTTTACAACGTGTATTCAATTTATTTATTTTTTTAAATATTTTTATAAATAATTAGTAAAATAATTTACAACATATTTAACTAAAATATCACAGTAAAGATATTATTTTAATTCAATTGAGGATTATTTATCAGCAATATGACAATCAGTGCCGTAGAAACCGCCGGTGCAGGTGGTGCAATGCACCGGGGCACTTGATCTTKAARGGGCCAATGTGACCTAAAATATACAACAAAGAAAAAGGAAAATTAGGTATGTTATAAAATTATGGGGCACCTACACGTCCTAGACCAATTTGCACCGGGGCACACAAGTATCTAGCTACGGGGCTAATGACAATTATATTTTACAACATTATTATTAAAAGTGATAATTATATTATATTTACCTAATATTTATATTATTTAGAATTTATAGATTTCTAAATTTTGGGTGTGTTGGTGTGTATTGTTATTGTATTTGAATAAATTTGGTTTTTTGCTTTTCCGATGGATTTTTATTTTTTATAATTTTTTTTATATACRTGACGTGTGCGTGAAAAGGGTGTAATTGAGCTCCCTCTTTGAATGAGTCATCTTTCATAAACAGCCCATGCGTAACAAAATTAAATATGTATATACGTACTATACTGATAAACCATAGTAACGTAATAGTATAAAATAATGTTAACAATAATTATCAACTTATTTAATTAAATAACCTTAACCAAAATAAAATACTGCTTATGAATACCATATGAATTATTTTGTTAATAGGTATAAGGACATARGGTATATGATTAGGTGGTATAATATGTACCAATATTATGCCTATGAGTTATGACTTTATTAAAATATGATTTCAAATAATAAACRTGTTACAAAATAAATTATTAAAAAAATAAACATACAATTTTCTGTARTTAAGCGGATATCAATCGTCTGTAATAGTACAGTTATYTACAAGTGTTATAAATTCGAATATAAATTTTTGCGTAGGTATGTACTCAAATAGTCAAATCATTTTATTTTAACGCTTTCAGCTATTAAGCCGTGTAAAAGGTTACGTTAGTATAGGTGCCTAAACTGCTATCTCAGTATACTAGGTCAGTATAATGGATGTCCAAATTTAAATGCGACGCTAAATTACAGTTAGATACCAGATAGGTTCGAAAAAACAATTTCGAGAAAGGATTCGATAGATGAAAATCTATTTCTAAGGATAGTTTATGTAATAATATTAGGTTATATTAATTATATTTTTTCTTATTTTGCTATAAGATAAGCTATAGGCGGATACAGTGACCCCAAATGAGGGGAGAGAATTTGTTAGTTATCTATTAAAAAAAGATCATTATCATTTACTTATTAAAAAAAAATACTTGTATGTAGATATTCTTTTCAAATTACTATGAAAAAACTAAATTTATATTGTTGAAAACTATACTGTTGCGTAAATACGTTTGTATTCTCAATTATTAAGAAAAGTCTTGGTCCCACAATAATTATTAACTTTGAACTCAATTAAATATTCTACCTGATGTCAACCTCAAAATTGAGGATTGAATTATTGAAGCATCTGTGAAATTTTATTTCTTCTAAGATATTTTATTATACATAATAATATGTGATATATCGTTATATTGATGTTATATTTATTAATAATTTATTTTTCCATTAGTGCAGTATTTACTGATGCGTTTATACATTAGAGTTCGTTTGAAATAAAAAAAATTGTCTGTTTAATTGCACAAAATTAGCCAACTATTTTGAAAATTAGGTACATTAAATCTAGAAAATTCTACCATTTTAAAGATATGGGTGAAAAATCCTGGTTTATACCTACGGTTATTAATTATTGAGTTATAAATAAAACCTATTTTTCCTCGAAGTACCAATTTGATTTAATTTTTATCCAGAAACCTTGCTAAAAGTTGAAGCACTTTTAATGCTCCTATTACAGAGGAGTAATACATAATACATCATTTTAATAACAATACGTACATTATTCATCGGTCCTCTCATAATCAAAAATCGTTTTAATTTAGAAATTTATTTCCAAACGGTTGAATAATGTCAATTGTTATTCAAACCAGCAAATTAGAGTTTTGGTATTAACGTTATTATAATGCCTACCTATAGCTACATATTTTATTAAATGGAGTACTTAATACTATATATTCCTACCGCGCGCATACCTATTAGGGTTAAATAGATTATTACGATTGGAACGTAACCAACTTAATTATTTATCCAATTACAATATACATATATTTATAATATATATTAATATCATAATATAAAGTACCCATACTCAAATTATTAAAWGACAACTCGAATTGTTTTAACCATTTTTTCTCGCTGGTTTAAGTTACCTATACAATATGTCCGCATTGTAGTATTTAATAATAATATAATTCAAATTTATAACAGTAATTGATCAAATGTTTACATTTAATAACATTTGTTTGCGCGGGTGGAATGAATTTCCCTTTAGGCTTCATCGATTATATTTCCTCCTAGTCCACCCCACCCTTCACCAGACCTTGAACAACACCCAACCCTTCTCAATGTTGGCGACCGTGTACTTGCCACTAGGACAAATGCACCGACTACTGACGAACACGGCCGCCGTGCTGTACAGTGTACATTTATGTTATTCTATCGATCTTTCGTTTTCAATATTAAACATTTTCAACAATTAAGTTGCATACAACAAAACCGAAAATGCTGCGCTCGTGATATTTTTATCTACAACGGCACAATGCCTTTTGTGTAAATCGTAAACAATCCGCCTTCTCTTATAGTTGTCGGTCCAACACAGTAGATRGCGCACAAAGGCACCGTTTAGTTGTGCATCGTCTGCATGAGTGTCGATATACGCAAGAACGGGATTTAACAACACACCCTAACCCTAAGGCTTAAACCACTGTCCACAGTAGTACCGTAACAGCGATACCGTAGTAGTTGTAAAGCGTTTTGGATTAGTGGTCATCGGTGCGTAGTGTGTTAGATTAATTATTTAAATGYACCTACCTATTGGATGTTTCAGTTTAACTGCAAGTTCCATCTAACTTTATTTAAATTATTTATTGTTGTGATTTAATTATACACTAGTCAAATATTAAAAATCTATCCCTAWATTCATTTAAAATTATAAATATAAAATAATGGTTTAAAGGTAGACATTTAAATAATAATAAATAGATTATTTTTAAACATGAATATTCTAATTGTATGTTA